TTATTATTATTAATATATATAGTTATATTAGTTATTTATATATATATAGTATATATATATGTGTATATATTATGTATATGTGTATGTATATATATATATATATATATATATATATAAATATATATTCACACATTCACATTTACGCATGCACGTACGAGTGTGTAGTAGTTCTATGTGTATATTTGTACATATATTGCTATTTGTGGAAGTATTTTTATGTATTCATATGTCATTCCTATTTACTCACCATGTACATACCTTCTAACCCAAGCTTCTACTGAAATCTCGCCCCGGCATACTACTACCAAATCAATTAATCATCGCAAGTATATAGTCCTTGTAGTCCTGTGCTCTAATACAGGCTGCTGTGGGTATTACATCTATGTTGGTCATGTCACTCATTGCCTCACTCTGTGTCTCTCGTAGGCGCTACCGAGTGATGCGCAGTGGGAGTGTACTGTTCATGACCATCATTCTCGCTGGACAGTTTCTGGTGGCAATATCCATTCTAACACCGGTACGTGCGTGTACTATATCATATGAACATACTTATGACTGGGCATGCATCGACCCATGATATATATATATATAAATATATATTTATATTCAAAATCTTACAGCCTTATAGTCTTTTTATGCTAATTACTGTTTTTCATTGTATTTTGAAATCTTATATTCTTGATACTAAATTTCACTTCATATCTCAATCTACCTACACCTCTACCACATCTATGCGTGGTCTTGTGGTTCTTGCTGTGGTCTCTGTCACATGTTTGCATGCATGCCCTGATACTTCAGCAATGCCACTTGAGCTTGAGGCTATAAGTTGTACACGGCATCAACGTATATATACTCGCACGTATATTCACTCCCAAGTTCACATATCCTCACACCAATACTTTCAACCACCTAATCACCTACTACAGTACAATGCTATGCTACATGAGCTTGTGGCGTACTCTGCACTGAGTTCGGTGCTCAATTGTTGCTTCTTCATAGGCCTGATATCCTCGGTAATGGGCTGTATCGTCAAAACCTATCGGTATGTGTACGTATTTATATGTGTGTTTCTATATGTATGAACGTATG